AATATATATAATTTTTATTTGTCAATCATATCTCAAATAAGCTGATAAAAAAGATATTACTGAGGAAGAAGTAAAAAGAAGAACGAGGTTGATAAAAGAATAAAAATGGGACACTGTGAATGTGGAAGAACTGCATTCTCTGTGCTTGTTAATTTTGGGATGACTCATTGTATTTGGTTTGTAAGTGGATTTGGGAAATACAAGTGATTGTAATTAAGAGGAAAGAGGCTAATAAAGAAGAATAATGCTTTAGATCTTTTTGTTGACCTCACTTCTGAGGACATATAAATGCATTCAGAAAACTTTCCCAGCTGCCCTCAACTTTGTTAACCTTTTTTTTTTTTCCCTTTTTCTTCTTTAATTTGTATTTTCTTTCATAATCTTTACATGCCTTTCTTTTCCTTGGTGCCCCATTTCTGGAGCTGGAAATTTAGGCAGATGAGGGGATATCATGAGCACTAGAAGGGTTTAAAACAAAAAACAACAACAAAAAAAAAGAGGCTTTTTTTTTTTTTAGCTTTTAGTGCTGTTAAAATAGGACTGCCTCCATAGTTTTGTGTAATCAGTTTTGCTTCTGTATTATTGACAGGAAAGTTCCTATAGATGGTACACATAGTCAAGAAAAATATGCCTCAACTCCTCCTGTCTGAATTTTACTCAAATAAGTATACAAGAGTAAATCAGGTAAAAAGAAGTTTGAGCCTGGCACGGTGGCTTACGCCTGTAATCCCAGCACTTTGGGAGGCCGAGGCGGGTGGATCATGAGATCAAGGGATCGAGACCATCCTGGTCAACATGGTGAAACCCTGTCTCTACTAAAAAAACAAAAATTAGCTGGGCATCGTGGTACGCGCCTGTATTCCCAGCTACTCAGGAGGCTGAGATAGGAGAATTGCTTGAACCCTGGAGGTGGAGGTTGCAGTGAGCAGAGATTGCACCATTGCACTCCAGCCTGAGTAACGAGCAAAATTCTATCTCAGGAAAAAAAAAAAAAAAGAAGTTTGATCTGGGAAAATTTGCTGTGAGATACTTTTGTAGAGAAAAAAATATTGTACATTATAAACACATAGAAATCTAAAACCATGTAGTAATAATTGCTTCTCATTTCAAAAGTAAATTTGCAAATCAAGTTTTTTTTGGACTGCATTTATCAGAACTCTTGTGCCTAAAGAGGAAATGAAATATTGGCTCTGTAATTGTAAAGGGGTTCTGTAATACAACAAATCTGAAGAATATGCCCCCTCCTGGATCTTCAAGATATACATGAGCATCCAAAGACTCTTAACTATCCCACAGCAAAGTGCCCTGTATAAAGCATCCCAGCATCTCCAAAACTTACTTAAGCCTTAAACATTTTATTCTTCTCAGTATAGCTTTTAGAGATCCTGCAAAAGACCAGTTTGGGTAAAGCTTATCAAAGTCATTAAAGCAGTATTTCCTACTTCAGAAAACATTTGTAGTTAGAGATTCTAGTCTTCTTGTTCATTCACATATTCTGCAGCCTTCACTATTGGGAAGTACTGCCTGGTGTGTAAACCATCTGATTGAAATGTCAGTCTTATTTTTCACAAAGTCTTACTTTTTTAACCAAAAGGACCTGAGCATTTCCTCTCAGAATGACTCTTTGGACAACTGAAGAAGCATATGTAATCATGTTTGCAACTTTTCTTCTCTAATCTGGAGATCTTTAATCACTTTATCATTTCATAAAGTCGATTTTCCACTTATTAAATAATTCATTTTTTAATAGGATATAAATTCTTTGTTTTATGGCACAATAATATATCTCGAACTATTACTACATTTAGGTTTTAATTCATCTAAAAAGTCAGAAACTTGAAAACTAAATGCTTTTGTAAACCTTTAAAATATATGAAAAAAATTAATATGAAAATCCACCTGCCTTTGGTCCACCTCATTTCTTTACAACACACTACCCATGTTGATTTCTCTCAATTAAGAAAACTCATCAAATGAAAACCATTTGTTCCTTAAGTAATGATACTGTGAAACTTCTCAATACACAGATTGCATATTTGTACATATGTAATGAGTGGACTATTGTTGACTCAGGATATTTTTGCAATAATTTATCCTTTATCTTCCAATGTTATGACCTCAACCTTACATAGAAGAACCTTCTCCCAGATGGGAAAAAATGTTCACTAGCATAATCTATACTATATTAGTGTGGTAAAATAATATCATTATCCATAAGCAAACTAAAATTTAATTTTTATTTCTGTTTTTAATAACCACATTGCAAATATAAATGTATAAATTCCCTAAAGTTAATAATTCCTCTCTTTTCCAGCTGCATTGTCTATTTTATAAATACAATAAACTCTTTTAAAATGGCCCCACTTACTAATTCAAATCTAAATAAAGCAACTAAACATAAAATCTTAAAATCCTTAATCCTCAGTGACAGTTGCATAATTTTTACAAAAATCCAAAATCTCTTGTTAACATTGATAAGGCTTCAAGAAGAGAGTGAATTATAGAATATTAATAGTTACAAAATATATATTGGATACCATAATATGTGAAGCATTGTACAAAACAGTGTACAAATATTACTAATATGACAATGCTAAACATCTTCAAGGAGCCAAACTCACTGAGGTGATTCCATATTGAAAACAAAGCAGAATAAAACAAAACTAATCTAATGCCATCACACACACATACTATTGTAACAAGTGAAAAGAAAGCATAAATAATTCACAATTGAAAAATTGTGGAACCAACCCAAATGTCCATAAATCCAATAGTGGATAAAGAAACTGTGGTAAATATATGATGGAATACTATGCAGTCATAAAAATGAATAAATTAATAGCATTTGTGGTGACCTGGGTAAGATTGGAGACTATTATTCTAAATGAAGTAATTCAGGAATAGAAAACCAAACATTGTATGTTCTCACCAATATGTGGAAGCTAAGCTATGAGGATGCAAAGGCATAAGAATGAGGCAGTGGACATTGGGGATTTTTGGGACTTTGGGGGAAGAGTAGGAGGGGTGCAAGGGATAGAAGACTACAAATATGGTGCAGTGTTTATTGTTCGGGTGTTGGGTGCACCAAAATCTCACAAATCACCACTAAAGAACTTACTCATGTAACCAAATACCACCTATACCCCAATAGCTTATGGAAAAAAATTTTAAAAAACATTTAAAAAAAATATAAAAAAAGAAAGCATAAGCTGCCACTGCGGCAGGCTGAAGAAATAATGACTTTTTTGGATACAGCTGTTGAGGATGAAATCACAAAGGAAACTCAGTAACATATGAGGTTTTTAAGTGTTGAAGAAAAGTATGATGCTCATAGGGACTGTTTGAACAGAGACATGAAGTTTAAATTTGATGACATGTTCAAAAATGATGCAAATAAAATAATGAGCATTAAGGAGTATTTGGGAAGGATGAGGATCCGAAGTTGGTTTGGAGTTAGGTGTATGTCAGATTGTTCAGTTTGTCTGTTTTTGTTGGTGGTGGTTTTTTGATGTTGTTATCATTTACTTTTAAAATCCATAAACAGACAAGTAATCTATGATCCCATAATTCTTTTGAATTATGTAAAGTAAAATTAAGTTTCTTTCTTTTGCCAGATATTTTCTGTCTTGCTTAGCTGTGCTTTAGACAATAATATATTCTTCATAAATGTAAATGCTTCCCCAATTACTACAAGTATTCCTTCTATCTTTTAATTCTCAGCTTTTAAAAATAACACATGCAACTGAGATATTTGTAAATATAAGGGACAAAAGAAAAATATGGAGCATCAAGAATAAAACTTTTAATATGAATTATACATGAGAGGCTTGTAATTTGGTGAGAATGATGTAGGAAGTTTTTAAAGGGTTGTATAGCTTAAGGATGGTGCCTGTGTAGGAGAAAAATAAAACAGAATGGCAACAGAGCTCCTGGACTAAAACACAGAGGAAATGCAGACCAAGGTGATTCTATTCAGGACATTGACAAATGGTAACTATTTAGAGCATCAAAACTTATAAAAGTAAATAAATAAGAAACCAACAAAAATATTTTCTAAGTATTATTTATCAGACACCAGATATTTAAACAGCTTACTCCAACTTTACTGCGGACCCTGTTCAAATACCTCTTAAAGGAGCTTTGCTGGACTATTCTATTAAAATAGCAGAATATAAGTTTAGAATGGAATGGAATTCTAGAACATAGAGAAAAAATGTCAAAATTTAGAAAAATCAACAATTAATATTTAAAATATTCTTACTGTCACCATAAATGGATTAAGTGTATATATTTTGCTTTAATTATAATCACTTAAAAGATTAGATATTTTAATATGGGCTATAGAATTAGACACATTAATCGTCACTTGAGATCACTCTATATGCCAGAATAAATTACTACAGCAATCTTTTGAGGGAAAAAGGCAGTAAAATACAATTTGAAATAATCAGTGGTGTTATAGAGCTCTCTTTGCTTAGATCATTGACTAGTTCTTCCAATTTGAATTAAAGGAATCCATTGAATTCTTATTTGTTCTTAACTAAATGCACACTTTAAAAAGATACTCAAAGTGCTTAAATAATTTAAAATCACCTTTGTATTATATAGTGGCATGAGAAAGGGAATTAGGTGACAATTCATGGCAATATTTTGGATATATTGGCAAATTACAGCATAGTACCATTCTAGTACCAAATATGAAGAATGAATAAATAGTTACATTTTACAGTGGGAGAAACTAAAGTGCATAGAGTTTAATGGTTTACTGAAGACCATCTCTATTGCTGTGCATATTAGTTAGAATAAAATAATTTTTGTCTTAGTCCTATTAAACAAGTTATAATTTTTGTCCTAGTCCTATTAAACAAGTTGTATGATATTTCTTATATGAACATATATGTAACTTTTGTCAGTGAAGTCAATGTTGTTGCCATTTTCTGCCTTTAAGCCCTAAGACAAATATAAATATGTACATGTAAATAACTATAACAGAGAAAAGAAGCATTTTGACAAAATATTTTATTAATAATAATATAATCATGGTTATAAAAATAACAACTTTATTAACTACAGAAAGTTTATAATACAAGTCATAACCACAGTGTTCCCTTTTTTGGGTAAGCATCCAGCTATACCACTCAATAGGCAGCTTATCAATTTCCTATTTACATACAAGACAAACAGTCAAAACATCCACAGTATTTCATTTTCAGTTTCCTAAATACAGAAACTTTCTGTGCAAATGGAAATGAACCTACTTAAAAGTTACACTGTCAAGATTTATATGGTCCAAAAAATTTCAACTTTTTTTTATATTACTAAATTCTTAGTTCCAAACTCAGTTGAATGTTGAAAGATAACTTCTTTTTGGACTTTATCATGAGAAGTGATTTGTTTTAAAATTATGTATTTAAAAATCAAAGGCCAGGTCCTTTTACCAAAATTAATTTTATTATTTTAATGTGTTTATATATATGGGGTATCATTAATTAAAATAGTATTTTTTGAATCTTAGTAAATCAATTTAAGGCTTTTTAGTATAAGAGCTTATTAACATTCTTTACCTCATGATCTCTATATTGCAAAAACAGTATTTATTAAAAAAAAAAAAAAGTTTATAAACAACAAGGAAATGCCTGACAGCAATTTCCCACTTCTTGACAGTGTTCTTTTAAAGAGAATGTTGTGGCTACAACATTCACTTTGTACAGTACCATTGGTACCAACAAGAAATATTCACAGGAATAAGTGAAATACAATTTTGCTATCACATGCCATTATTGTTAATTTTCTTGCCTTCCAGTATCTCACATTTCCCGTAATTTGAAACACTTAGATAGCAAGCAAAAGCCTATTAATACTAGAAATTGACTCAATATACATTACTGAGGACCTGCCCACAGCAAATACATAAAAGTCATTACACATTTTACAATAAAATTAAAGAAGTATACAAAAGGATTATCATTTCTTCTGCACGGCAGAGGCATTATGAAAAATATTTTAGTTTTACACTTCAATTCCTGATAGACATGAGAAAATGTCTACAATTATAACAGTACATAACCATTATTCAATCAGCCAAACCAGAAATCGCATTGAAACCTTCTGATTTAAAAGATCCTTTTGTCAATGACACAAAATAAAATGGATTATTGAATTTTTTAAATGTTTAATAATTTATTCAGCAAAGAACACCTAGTAAAGAATATCTTCCACCAGCAAATAATGACATGACTCTACCCCATTCTACCACCTAAAATAACATGCACTTTGTTCATCTAACTTTCATTGTCAATTCCACCCATGTCCCTCTATCACTAAAGGAGCCTCCCAAAGAGAGAATTACTTTCTACAGTCTGTTTGATGATTTATTGGTGGTATTGTTTTTAGCCTTTAATAAAATGAAAAATACTAGGTTCAAAATGTCTAAATACTTAGCTTCATCTTGTATCTAGCTAATCTTTATTGGTATTTTTAGGAAATGTAGAGGAAGAGTCATAAAGGAAGTAGTTTTAAAATGTGAGTATTTAAAAAGTATTATAATTTTATAAAAGTTGTATAAATATCGTCATATGCAACAATAAAATTTCACTGGTTCAGCAAGAAGAAACTATGAAATACACTCTATGTTTTGGCAATATGCTCTTGACATTTCTAGGTATTCTTATTATAATGGTGTATTATATAAGGGAAAGAGAAATACAATCAGATAAGATGATGGAGGCCAGCAACTAGTTGGACGTCTTTTTGCTTCCACTTTAAGATTCTTGATACCAGCACATATTTTACAAAAAAAATGAAACAACTTTTATAAGCACTTCTGGACTTGCTGCCCTATATTTTGTGGACTAAGTGCTCCATAAACTTAAAAGCATTTTAGTCCAGATTGAACAGTATTCTAAAAAGCTGTTAGGGAATTGTTTGGGGACTTGGCCTTGATAAAAATCATTCAAGAAAACTAAGAGAAATGGGAATACTGTATTCACACCATTCAAAAAATTATTATTATTATTATTTTTAAACGCTACTGATTTTAATCTGTTTGTGCATAAAGGATTTAAACAAAAAGGCATTTGCAGTGTCCAAGATGATATTCCAGGTGCCAACAGTTTTGATACACAATGTCTGAAATAGCAGGAATATAACAACTGAATTCAATAGCAATAATCTACTGCAATGGAAGCCTCCAGCTCCGATCAGCCTGTCCACCAGCCACATTGAAGTACTGTAATGAATTGCATCTGTCAATACCCCTGCTGTCTTGAAGTCCTTAATTATGGCTTTGTGTTCCTTTTCTCCTCCTATAATTATGTAACCAGTTGTTAGCTTTTTGGGTTTTCTTAATTAGAGTGTATAGGAATTTGGCTAATGGGACACTTTATAAGAAATTGTCCCCAGAAAAATGGACCACCACCTCGTCCTTGCCCACTGTGCCAAGAGGATCACTTAAAGGCATGCTGCCCCAGGGGACAAAGGTTCCAGGGTCTGAGGTGGCTAACCAGATAACCCAACAGCAGGACTGAGGGTGCCCGGGGGCAAGTGCCAGCACAAGTCATCACCCTCACGGAGCCCGGGGTAAAGCTAGCCATAGAGGGCCAGGAGGTTAATCTCCTTCTGGAAACTGGCGCAGCCATCTCCTTTTTAATTTCCTGTCCTGGAAATTAAAGCCCTGTTACCCTAGGTTTTTCGAGATAGCCCCCACTTGTTAAGCCAGGGTCTAGCTCAGGACATTAGTAATTTTTCATATCCGGGTACCCTGGTTCTTCAATATATGAATGACTGACTTTTAATTGCAAACTTGGAAACCCAGTGTCAGCGGGCCACCCAGGACTTCCTAAACTTTCTTGTCAAAAAATTATTTTTAAAGGCCTTTTGTACAGGAAGTTTTTTGAAAAAAAATCAAAGCCTATCCTATTACTTTTTGTTATTCTATTTCTCAACAAATACATGATCTTTAGCTAAGCATGACAAATACAAAAATATGATAATTTGGCTGTTATACAGAAAGTTTAAATGACCATTACATATGGCATTAGGAAAGATCTTTGTAAAATGAAATAAAAAATGAAGATACCTTGATAAAATATCTGATTCAACAGATTCAACTATACTTCAAAATAATAAATGAATACAGAGTTTAAACAAACTAGTTTATTTCCTTTTAGAAGTTTTCTTTTACTTCAAACAAGCTTTATTAGGCTAAAATCTTCCAGGTTAAGAAATATGTTTTCCTCCAATATATACTTTAATGCATGACTTGATGAAGGGTATTTATAAAACTTTGGAGACATGGAAGTTTTTCTCTTAAATTTTTTAAAAATTAAAGGCAGTGAGCTAGAAGCCAATCACAGGAGCAAGTCTTAGAATTAACCTATTTAAATACATTTTTAATAACTAAACAATTTTAAACTTCTTCAGTTAGATACTGATGTGGGCATTTAAGAAAGGCTTTAGTAAAATAGATCTACAAATATCTTGTGTAAATGAGTGGCCTTAAGTTGGAGGAAACAAATAACACAAATAGAACTATTACCCTCTTTCCTTTAAGAATTAGGAACTACCTGAAATAACTAGGTTAATAAATACATGTAAACACCTAGAATAGGTGTTGGTGTTATTTCACTCTCTGGGGGATGGTCACACCTGAAATGCCAACCAAAGAAGATCATCTGCACATTATGTGTGGAGAATTAGCTAGTCATTTTGATCTTGCATCATTGTTTAATATTTCTACTGGTCTTTAGAGATTTCTTTCTCTTTTTTTTAGGTAAACTATAGTTACACACTTCTAAAATATTTAGGAGTTACATGAGGTACACCATAATTTAAACTGTAGTGCATGCACATGTGTACCTAGGCATGTGTACATGGGTATTGGTTTTGTAAAAAGTGTGTTCATGTACCAGTATTGCAGGATACATGGTGAGGAGAAATGAATGAAATATAACATATGGCATATGAAATGTAATATAATTTAATATAGGGCTACAATTAAGGGACACAAGGTATAAATTGTTCTGGTGAGGTTAAAATAATATTTAATTTATGGTTTGTTCATTATTAAGAAACCAACCTCAGTAAGCAGCATAGAGAGATTGAATTTTTTCCCATTAAATCTTTATCATCCAACAATTATACCTGTGTCTTTTTTTAATCATTCAAGTATCTTCAGGAGATATGTTACTACTCTTGCATGTACCTTAATTCACTTCAACATTGACAAAATAACACAAACATAACAACAGAAAACACCCATAAACATTAATGAGAATTTTAACAAACATAACTCTCCAGTGGTTGTCTTAGGATTGTTGTAAGTGGCATTTTAAATTCCACATTCTCTGAAATCTTCATGTAGGAGACAGTTGTATTGATGGGTGCTTCAGACACACTTACTTCAGCTATGACTGTGGTACCTTATATGTTAAAATAATTTTGTGTATCCATTTTGCATAATATGCTACTCGGACAAAAATACCAGGACGATTTAGAATGGCACATCCACGACCAGGAACAATGACACCAAGAACCATTCTCATTTTATGTTGTTCACAAACAAGTGGGCCACCATAATCCCCCTAGGAGTAAGACATACAAAAGCAAGGTATTATTAGAAATTAAAAATAATTGTACATTAACATTATGCCATATGGATTTGCATCTCAGAGTTATATACAGAAAAGGAATAACTGCAACTGAAATATGAAGATATAAAAATTAGTGTACTCAACCATTTGTTGACTTTCTACTGAATTAGCCAAGACAGAGAAAAACACAAAGTTCAAAGTGTTCTATTATGTGTATTCACCTAAAAATGACTTGCCTTTTCCAAAATAGTCACTCATCCTTTTAAGTGTGTATTGCTTTTGTTGGATATAGACTAACATATAACAATTGGTACCTATTTAATAAGGTAGATTTTATATTTATTTCGATCTTCTTATGTTCAATACATGTTCAATATAGAAAATTTGGAACATGTAGAAAAAACAAAGGAAAAAGAAAATAACTTGGAATTATACAGTTTTCTTTTTGTTTTTTGAGACCGAGTCTCGCTCTGTCACCTAGGCTGGAGTGCAGTGGTGCGATCTCAGCTCACTGCAACCTCTGCCTCCTGGGTTCACACAATTCTCCTGCCTCAGCCTCCTGAGTAGCTGGAATTACGGGCGCATGCCACTATGCCTGGCTAATTTTTGTATTTTTAGGAGACGGGGTTTCACCATGTTGGTCAAACTGGTCTCAAACTCCTGACCTCATGATCCACCTGTCTCGGCCTCCTAAAGTGCTGAGATTAGAGGTGTGAGCCACCATGCCCTGGCAATTATACAGTTTTAATAACTAAACTGCATTACATTTTCTCTTATTTCTAAAACTTTTTTTTTTTTTTTTTTTTGGCTTCTCGCAATCCTGCACGCGATGATCTTAACAAGTTAAATTCAAATCCTGTAGTCAACAAAATAATTCTGTTAATTGAAATGGCTTTTCCAGGCAAGGAATATTCTTCCACTTACTGCTGGTATTAGTAGTTAATATAGTTATATTTATATTCTATACCCTTCTTTCTGTAGGGTGTCCTGTGATTTCATGGCATTTCTTATATGGCAAGCCTGTTGCTTCATCAGATATGGATAGATGAAAGATGAACAGATGGCTTTATTTGTGTTGTGTATATATACATACATACATACATACATACATATACTCATTTGTGGTTTTATTTATTCACACAAATATAATTAATATGTAAATACACAAGTAAATACAAATAAACATATAACCACTACAACTGTGCTGCACCACTTTCATGAACCATGTAGGCTCCTAAGAATGCAATGGCTGGCTTCTGGCATCCTTATATGCAGAAGAGTGTTTGGAACTACCTTAATTTCCCCCCAACAGCAATGGGGGAAATTACTGCAAAATTAACTTCTGTGATTCAAATGGAAAGAAGAAACCCATTGGCATTCTATGATAGGGAAGACCAAGTTAGGGGTAAAGTAGAATATCAAACAGTAAAGAAAAATGGTTTATTCCAAGAGACTTTGCATAAACTATGCCAGGTGAGGCAATAAAGCTGATTTTTAAACAAATGCACTAGTGGTTACTGACATGAAAACTCCTCAAAGTAATTCACTCTGGAGACTTTCACTAAATGTGATGTCACTGCTATTATACAAACATTTGGGAGATATCTCCTTCAAATTTATTTCAGTGGTTAAATTATCTTAATTTAAATGTCAGTGACATGTATTTTTAAAAACATCTGGAGGATAAATACATTTTGAAACATGGCAGAATCTATTTGAGGTCAAGTCTTAATAAGGTTAAAAACAACATATATAGAGATAAATAATTCAAGCTAAAGAAGGGAAATGAAGAATATATAGTTGATAACCCAGATTAAAGACTATTCTTCAAAAGCAGCTGTCGAATTTGGTTTTAGTAATAACAATAATTAGATGATCTATACAGTTGGGTCTAGTTAGAAACTTCTGTGTTTACTGGATGCTTATTGCTTTTACTTTTTAAAGTCATTACTTTCTCCTAGTAAATTTTCCATTGTTATAATGAACAGTGGTTTTATTGTTCATGATTTACTAGAAAGGCAACAAATTTGAAACTGGTTATAAACATATAATGTTTCTAACCATATCAGCTTTAAGCAGTTATAAAAACTAACTTAGTAAACAGTAAACATTTTCTCTTCTTTTCAGAAATAAAATCTCAGAGCACGGTGTATAACACTTGCATTTCAACACATATTTATGTTCCATACTTCCAGCAGGCATTTTCCTACATATCAAAGGACATTTCACTATCATTGAACTCGTTTCATCCTTTGCTGCACACAGCATTCCATAATCCCACAGCCCTGAAGCTTGGAGAATGTGTCTCTCACATTCAAAATATAACTAAAATAATAGCTTAACAGCTTGTCTATGTAAAACAGGGATAGAAACATTGTCAAGCTGAAATAACAGTTGCCTAACAAGTGAAATGTCCAAACTCGTAAAGTCACAAACTTTTTGATCTTTAGGTTTTTTAAAATATAATTTGTATAAACACATACACAGAGCAAAAGAGCAAGAGAGAGACCAGCTTACCCACAAAGAGATTTAAAGGTTTAAAGCCAGGTGTCTCTGAATGATATAATTAGTGAGGTTCACTTAGAGATAATTTAGAAAAACATTAGAAAAATGCAAACTATTGATCAAACTGATTTGGATACTTCTCATTTGAATAGCTCTCCCTTAGAGGTCCAGGTCTACACATTTATTGTTTTTTGAGAGACAAATGCCATCATAGTTTGCTGCTAATAAAACATTGGTTATCTCACTGTTTAGTTAAAAGAAATGCAGAATATTACAGAGTAAAATTTCCCAATTCCTCTCTCCTAGAACATGTGGTATACAATATTTTTGATTTGAGAAAAATAGAAAAAAAAAAGCATGAAACACTAAGCTATTAATCATATTCTCCTTATTAAATAACTTCCTTTTTACCTCACATGGTCCTGATCCAATGTTTTCAACCCCTGCACATATTTCAGACTCATTCAGAATCAACTTCCCTTGATGATACTGGTTGCATTTCTCATTTCCCACTATATAGAGATGTGCCACTCGTAATAGACCGTTATAGTTGATCACTAGATTGATGCAAAAAACATACAGTAAGATGAGAAAACAGAGACAAATGTGTTCTTTTTTAAGTAAAATAAATATGGCTTCATCTTTTGAAAACTAGCTTACATCCAGTGTAGCCCCAGCCATAAACACTGCAAGAGGTCTTTTCAGGAATTGTGCAGCCATAATTAGGTAAATCAATTGTACTGACAAAATCATCCAGGACAGCAGGCCTGAAAACACAAAACACAGTGGTAAGTACTCCCAACCGGATTCAACACAAAATTAACATATTAAATGCAGTGTTCATGTTTAATATGACATTTACAGAGAATGAAGTCCTGTTGCTT